TTATTGATCCTGGAGACAACTGCTCCATGCTGGTGCTTAATGGATCCTGAAATGATGCTGTGTCGTTAAGAAAGACATGGAGCCGGGGCAAGCGGGGCCCGATTGGATAGGGGAAATCTGGTGGAGAGAACATTGCTGCTGGCTGTGATGGACCAGGCAGCTGGCGTACGGGAGGACCTGGCTGCATTGGGCTCCTGGGGGCCAGGGGCTCGGTCTGGGCTCTACCGTATCTGGGACCCTGAGTGCGCAGGTCAGGGTGCTCCACTTTTGGGGCCATCGTCCCAGGTGCTCAGGGCTCTCACAGGTGAGGAAGCTGGTAGTGCCAGCTCCCCCATGGGATGGGCATTCCATGACAAGCAGAAGGAGCGGACAGTTTGCTTGGCTGCGTGCAGGGGTGGAAGGTTCCCTGTACTCTGTGGGGCTTGGCACTTTCCATGGGATGGGAGCAAAAAACCATGCACAGAAAAAAAAAGCTAAAATCAGTGATTCCAAACAGCATATCCGGCTTGGTGCCATAAATCTCCCCGATGTGCATCGATCCCTGCTGATGCAGGAGGAGGCCCAGTGTGGGCAGAGCCGCAGGGGCAGTGCGTGGGCCCTCCTGACTGGCCCGCAGAGGAGTTTGGGCCCCCTGGCCACAGCCTGCTGCCAGGGGGCAGGACGTGGGGCTGAGAGATTGGAGAGTGGGCGTGCGGACAGGAGTGGGTGTTTGGGGCTGCGGTGCCAGCATCCCGCGCAGGACGGGGGGGCCATTTCTTCCGGCTTCAGTTTCCTTCCCTAGGTGATGGGCAGGAGCCTGATGAGCCTTTGCTGGGGAAAGCTGGGAGCAGCGCGGTTTGGAGAGCGGGGGGCAGGCCCCATGCTTCCCGCTGCCCCTCTTGCTGGGCCCTGGGTGACGTGCAGGGGCCCTCGTCTCTCCCGCAGCTCGCGAAGGTGCTCATGTGATTAGAGTTGAGGTTGAGGAAATTAGCAGAGGATCTGCCTGCGCTACACAGGTCCTCTGCCCGGGGAGATGGAGAGGGGGGGCTGATACCAGGAGAAGGGTGGATTTTGTCCTCCCCATCCCTACAGTATGGCCGGGAATGGGAACAGTCACTGGACTGGGGCAACGGTGTTGGCCTTGCATGGGGGGCCATGTGTTGGCAGCGCTGCTCTGCAATGGCACCAACACAAAGCACAGTGGTCGCAGGCACCCTGTGCATCCCTCGCAGGCAGTACAGAGTGGGGGTTTACAGGACGGTCCCTCTCCCTTGGCGCCCGGG